GAGCGGATCACCACGGCCGAGACATGGATCCAGTAAACGGAGGATGTATTGGTGAAACTTCAGGAGCAGATGGAAGCTAAATTGACTGAATTGGAGGGACATTCAAGACGTGATAACATCAGGCTACATGGGGTAAAAGAAGGAGCTGAAGATAATGTCGCCACAATGGTCACTTTTGTGGAGGATTTATTAATGAAGGGTCTGGAGCTCCCCCCACTACTGCGCTACATATTGAAAGAGCGCACCGGTCGCTCGCCCCAAAGCCTCCGACCGAAGCGCCGCCGAGATCCATCGTGGTCAAGTTTTCAAGTTACAGAACAAAGGAAGACATGCTGAGAAGAGCCTGGCAGAGGAAAGGGTTTGATTTTCAAGGAAAAAGGGTACACCTGGATCACGACTACGCACCGGAGCTGCTGAGGAAGCGAAGGGAATATAAAGAAGGAGAAAAATATAAGATTTCAGACTCCGTTCCCGGCCAGACTGAGGGTGTTATACAAGGACGGTATGGTCATCTATAACTCGGCAGAGGTGGCAACAGCGGACATGGCAGAGAGTGGGATACCGGTGACCGTTTTAAAAACTCCGACGTCCCTCCTGGACCGAGTCAGCCAGCTGACTTGGCGATACGGCGGAAGACGCGGTAACCATGGTAACCGCAAGGACACAGGCTCCACGCAAAGCCTCAAAGACTTATAGCTTATAGCTACAAACAATATGGTTAAGAAGTTTATAGGACTGGACTTAATACAAGTCTTAACGGAGGTTCTCAAAAGGTAATTGTTATGGGCATATGAAGGACAGTTTCTGGCGTCGGGACACATCAGGACATCATGGACCCATGCACCAGCTTTTAAGCTGAAGAGGAAGAGATTTTCCCTCTGGACTCTCCTTCCATCAGAGTCATAAGGCCGAAGAAGAGGCCTTAAAATTGGAAGTCAGATTTGCTTTATGTGTTTACTGTTCTGTTAAGGTATTGTTGTTTGTTTGCGTTGGTGCTACTGTTCTTAGTAGCTCCAGGGGTGTAAAAGGTAAGCTATTTTTCAGAGTCTGGGTGCTTATAACATACTCAAAGACATATGATGCTAAGTACCAAGTCAGTTAAAGTAATTACATGTAATGTAAATGGCCTGGGAAACCCAATTAAGAGGAGCAAGGTTTTGGCAAAACTGAAGAGGGAGGGAGTGGAAGTTGCTCTCTTACAAGAGACGCATCTAACAGAATTGGAGCATGAAAAACTCAAGAGATGGAAATATAAACAGTATTCATCCTCCTGTGGGCAGGGCTCGAAGAGAGGGGTAGCAACTTTAATTTCTAGTAAATTAAACTTTGAGTGCTTATATGAAAAAAAAGATATTAATGGAAGATTTGTACTGGTCCGGGGATATTTACAGGGCGTTTTATTTACCTTTTTAAATGTTTATGTCCCCCCAGGATCAGATTGGGAATTTTATAAACACATTTTTGGATTAGTAATTTCTGAAGCCCAAGGTATCCTTATCTGTGGAGGTGATTTTAATGTTAGACTCCAACCTGCTCTGGATTCTTCTAAGCCTTGCATCCCAGGAGAGAAAAACTACCAAAAACATCAAACTAGATATTAACTATAAAACATAGGTTAACCTGGGTCTCTCCTCATACTGCACCTTTTTTAATCAGAGGACAGTGAACAGTTTTGGTGCATTGAAGAGACTACATGGTTTAAACAATAGTGACTTCTTTAGATATCTTCAGGTTTGTCACCACATTAATTAGTTCTTTTCCGGAGAGCCAAAAAGTATTTGAGAATGAATTGTTAAAAATGTTTATTAGTGCCTACACAGTGGACTCAGGGCTTAAAATAATTTCAAGATTTTATAAGGGTCTGGACCAAATATTGTGAATTTCAATGGAAGATATCAAGCTCAATCTGTTGGAGAGTGTTTGGCTGGAAGAGTCTCAGCAGATATTTTATTTCACCTGTTCAGCAGTCTCCAGTTGCTGGAGAAAATGTGGTTCTCAGGAAGCA